GCAAGTGACATTGCTTTTATCCCATCAACCCTAAAGCGCGTGCGAACATGGCGGGTATCGTGAATAAGGGTTATTTCAGAATAAGAATACATATACACTGGTTTAATTCTAAAAATCAACTTTTTAATGCTTTCATCGCATGGCGAAATCCAGTTTGCAGAAGATACTAATAGCCCACGTTCGATACGATATATTGAAATTCTAACATGACTCCGAAGCTTATGGGAAAAAATAGCAAATTCTTCACGACTCCATCGTCTCGCAATACCCAAAAAAGACTTGAGCACAAAGAAAACTAGACTAAATATAGAATAATGACCAGAAAGCCTCGGAGTCATGTTAGAATTTTAATATACTGAACGTTGGCTATTAATGCACGTATTAATGCACTCCAATGCACTTATTTATCTCGTGACCTGCAGTGTAAAACACACGCACACTAACTAAATATTCACTGTCTTCACCAAAAATGTTTACTCACCCACTCTGATCTCGAAAGGATTCAATCTGTTCCCACAACAGTCTCCTCTGTTTACGACGTAAACTTCATTCATTAGCTCCACGTTTCCCAAGTCTACTCTCCACCAGGGCTGTTTTTCGTCAAGCGTGTGTGCACATGACCTGCCAGTCCAACGAGTGTTACTGTCTCCATCCACCGCGTGGCCACTAGCACCCTGGTCGCTATAAGTACTTGACTGAATCGTGTTCTTTTGATACGCTAAATTTTCTTCAAAGAAACAAGGAGGTTGTTCAGTGATGCTGTTCATTCTAATGCAAAGATCGTGTTCACTTTCATATCTTTATCCGCAGCTCAAAATTAATATGATTCATTCCATTAGCCTAAATTTCAGCCATCTCCTTGAGTCGCATAAGGGACGTCTGAATTAACGAACCTCTAATGCCGTCCAGTGACGTCATTACCCGAAAACCAGGTAGTGATTTTCATTGGTTGATTGTCCAAACATTTGCATAATTATGTATAATTATGAGAAATTTTAGCGGAACTGTCATGTGATATTCAACGGATCTTATGCTTGCGTAAAGTTCAAAATTTCGACAATATTTAAAGAGCAAAATATCCCATGTCTTCGAAATTATAACTTATTTAATTGAATTACGAATGAAGAATCAAAGCGAAAAGGCGGTAGGTTTTCATTTAAAGCCCTTTGTGGTTTTCGCAGTGATTTTTGTGTCTAGCTAGCAAATTACCAAACCTTGTCATTTAAACTTTCAAGTATAATTATTAATTTCTCCTTCTTTCTTGTTTGTTCGTTAAGGATCAAATTTAAAAGCTCCTTTTAAATGAATTAAAGCAAATTGAAGGAAGAGACGTCCTCTGTGTGTTCAATATTGCGTGGTCGCGATCAAGTTTGATTATCGAATTATGGCGTCATACAAGCATGTAGTTATTAAGGCGGAATCCATTAGGAAATTGAGAAATTTTAATTTTCAGTGGACAAAAACCTTGTACCAAAATAATTTCAATTATTTAGCATTCTTTTTTACACTTTTCGAGGGCTATAAATGTCATAAGTTATATGAAATAACTCCAAAGAAAAGCTTCTTACGGGAACCCGAGAAAACAAACTTCAAAAGCTTCAAATTCCACAAAAACAAAATCTTATGACGATTTTACCTGTGTTTTCCAAATTGCAGTTAATTTTTTTTCCTCAGGCACCCTAAGAACCTTCCCTTTAGAATTATTTCATATAACTTATGACATTTATAGCCTTTGAAATGTGTAGAAGAATGCGATACAACTCCAAAATATTTTGGTACAACGTTTTTGTCCCCTCTTTGTTTTGTTCTCAATTTCCTGATGGATTCCGTCTTAAACAGTTTCAACGTTTAACATAAATAATGAGTGACGGGTAAAACAATTCTATACCAGGTAGACCTAATTTTCAGTGATATGTCTTTGTTTGCCAGTTTCCAATTTTGGTTAAATTTTTACACAAATTAAAGCAGAGGAGTAGTGGCGTCACTGGACGGCATTATCGGCTCGTTGATTCAGACTTCCCTTTGGAGGGTATATGACTCGAGGCCAGGGACGGCTGATATTCAGGCTGTCATTTCATATATTCTAATTCAAAAATAAAATTTAATAAATTAATAAATAGATTACTTAATTAACAATAAAATGACAAGTTCTCTGTATATCAAGGAACAATTATGTCAAAAGAAAGAAAGAGAGGAGCCACCAATCCTCACAAGTAAGGTTATCCGGATTACGGAATCCGGGAAATTTTTCCTTCTGGAATCCGCCAGCCAGGGCTTTGGATTTGGGAATTTAGCTCAGGGATTCAGGATTCCTCCTGAAAATGGGAATCCGGAATACACAACGTGGAATCCAGAATCCAAGACTGATTCGGTTTACCTCACATGGGGCGACACCAGCCTAACCAACAGCTCCAAGTAACCTTCATAAAGCATTATTCCTCTATTCCCATTTCTTTCTGCTCAAGTAGACCCTTTCCACTGTTTTTTCCGACTTTTGACATGGACAAGTTAAGGAAAGAACGCCTTTAAATTATTAAAATTGCCAAGTTTGAGAGTGATTTGTTGTAGAATTACAGACCTTTGTATAGTGGGGAGAACAAACTCGTCCCCCACCATAAAAACGTCTGCAAATTTTTCGCAACTTTGCGGAGCTGTCTTTTCGCTGCTAGTTAAAGAAGTGTCACCCTGAAAACTGGCGAGTTTACTAATTTTAAGACGCTCATTCCAGTGGTGTCCCTAACTAGCCCATGTCAAATGTTGAAAAAATGCGGAAAGGTCCATTGAACCAAAAACCAGGTGGAAGTTGGTTAAGAGCGACGCAAATTTAAAGAAACAGACCGTTACCTCGTGAGTACACTTCCACCTCGCAAAGCGTCAGAAACTCTCTTCTCGTAATTTTAATTCCAAGATATCGGCCAGACGTTAGTGGATTTCTGTGACACACAGCGGAAGCTATAAACTCGATAAAACTGTAATTTCCAATGCAAGCAGGATTGTTTACTGCATCAGCGCTGTTACCTGATATAATAAAACAAAATGAAAGTCCTAAAGTCACTTCAGCTACGATAATACGGACAAGAGAAACGTGAGAATTGTTTTGTGGCCTGACAATTCAGCCGACCTTTCGCAACGCCACCACTCATTCAGTTTTTCCCGCAAAATACCGCCTAAAAAAAGCAGCGCAGAAATTTCATACTGGTGACGTGTCACCACCCAGATCTGGAAAGTCCTTCTTATTGGTTGAAGCAAATTCCCTCGCGAGACGGCCGACCAGAAGTTCTACTCAGATCTGGAGAGTGAAAGGTCATCAGCACGGAATTTCTGCGCTCGTTCCTCCGACGTCATATCGCAGGGAACTAGTCACTGAGTGGTGGCGTTGTGAAATCAGTACTATTTCTCAGGCTACGATTTTCCACCCACGAATCAAATCTGTCTTGCAACAAATCAGGTTGTTACAGGTTGCGGAAAATTATTGTAGAACTTTGAAACAAAATCTGTATATAATGTGCTTTGTACCGACCCAAGAAAGTGAGGTCACTCCTCCTGCAAGACAGATTTGAGTAGTGTGTGCTCTTACAGTTACTTAAAGAAAGGTATAACAATATATCAAAAAATCGAAAATAAAATGAAAATTTACAATTACATTTAATACATTGTAAATCTCTAGAAGGCAAAAAAAAGAGTAAAAACTATGGCAGAGCTAAAAGTTTTCTATTAAATTAGGAAGAATATGGAAAAAAGGTCTTGATTAATATTGCACAAATGAGGGAGGGGTTCCCCTCTTGGGTCAAAATGCCCATTACATTGTCCTTTTACATTTTTAAGTTTAATTAATCCGCTAGACGTGCCGCCTAGAAGCACAACAGCGCTTTTTACCTTGAAAAGTTCAAGATCTTAAGAAAAGAATCTAAGGCATTGATAAACAGGAAGTTAGAGGAGTATCACACTTCTCTTGGTGACTTTATGACTTCCGCCATAAAACCAAATCAAATTCTATATCAGCTAATGTTACGTACGGAGGGCCACAGATGTCCTCTGGAGTGGAGATGGCAGAAGCTTTCAACAAAGATTTCTCTTCTACGTCTACGCATGCGCCCGAGATACCCCTTGAAGCGTTTACGCCACTCGACGAGGGGATGCCCGTCCTTGAGAGCTTGGTGCTGTGTGAAGATCATGGAGGTCTATAAGGTGCTCTTGAATTTAAACCCGAGCAAAGCTCCGGCCCTGGAGGTCTTCCTGCAATCGTGCTAAAGTCGTGTGCAAGGGAACTAACACCTTCTCTTTGCGGCCTTTTTAATTCATCTCTTGCGAAGGGTAAACTACCCACCGAATGGAAAGACGCCCTTGTCGTCCTTGTTCATAAGAAAGGCAAAAAGGAGGACGTAACTAACTACAGATCCATCTCTCTATTGTGCGTTGTATCCAAAGTATTAGAACGATGCATATTCAAGCACTTCGAGGAGTCTCTCTGTCCTTTGTTTCACAATACACAGCATGGTTTCCTTCAGGGTCGATCAACTGTCACTCAGCTGCTGGCGTTTTATCACGAGATTTGCCAGTCTCTAGATAACGGCCTGCACTCTAAGAGCCTATGTATTTGGATCTCGCGAAGGCTTTCGACAGTGTCTCCTACCAAAGGCTGCTTCTGAAACTCTCCCGGTACGGAGTTAGCGGGAAACCCCTGTAGTAGTTCGAGAGCTATCTAGGTGGACGCGGCCAGCACTGCTTGGTCCACGGTTTCACTCAAGTCGTTCTCCAGTTCCTTTAGGAGTCCCTCAGGGCAGTATCCTCTGTCCTTCTGCCGGTAATACAGAATCGTCTCGCACTCTCCGCTGATGACTCAAAATGTTCCAGTGTCATTGAAAGTCTACAAGATTATGAGTCACTCCAAAAGGACCTGGACAGTCTGCATAGCTGGACCGATAATTGGCACCTAAAATTTAACACCTCTAAATGTGAGGTGCGAAACGTCACACCTAAGCGCCACCAATTTTCGCTACGATTACAAGTTAAACAACAACTCACTTAAACACGTCACGGAGCTCACAGGGGACACTCACATTAACAATATCTTAGGAAAAGCCAATAGGATGCTCGCATTTTTGCGCCACAATAGTGTTATGTTATTCACGACAGACCATAGGAAATTACTATATCTCACGTTTGTAAGATCATATATTGGCTATGCTAGAGAGGTATGGGCTCCTAGTATTTCTAAAAATACCGGTACTGGGGAGATGAGCTATGATACATACGGCATTTTTTATATTCCTGTAAACTTTGCTTTCAATTTACCGAATTATGTTGCTAGCTATATGCACTACTCAGGTAAAAAAAAAAAAAATCGTAACCTTAAGGTTACGAAAAATTTGCTTCCAGGGGATTCAAACCCGGACCCTCCAATCAGTAAGAACTGAAACCCTTCTATCCACTTCTATTTTTTCGAAGAAAAGCATCTTCAACGCGGCTTTGTGTCGGTTCAAGTACTTTGATTGAGCTAAGGCGGAACACCCCAATAATACATGTGGGAGGGTCTCTGCAGCTCTTCCACACATCCTACGTGTTACACCCCCCTGGGTGGTTCCTGTCTTTACGCCTCATACCACTGGGCCATGCGTCCGCTGCACAGTTTGAAATTTAAAATTAATAGTGTTGAAATATTTGTCTCTGCCATTCACATAGTTTGAACCTTGTGGAGCTGTATTTAATGATGAATTCGAAGGTACATTTGAGGCAAAATAGCGGCAAGGATTTCCAGCCACTATGCCTCGGACATTCCAATCTCCTGTTCCTCTGTTCCTCTGTCTCTTGCTGTCGGCGTTGCCTTCGCTGAGCTAAGCGATGTTCTTTCTGCTCCGCGAATTCTTGTTGACGGCTTCTCCTTCGTTGTTCACACTGAATTTCAAGTCGGTGTTCTCGCTCCAGAGAAATTTCGGTGGAAAATGTTACTCGGCGAGGAACTGCAGCCACTTGTTGTGCTGCTGTTGTGTGTCATTTGTATGGGAAATTGCTCGTGATTCACCGATCGTAAACACTGTTTCACAGACGATGAATAAACACATCAGCTTTTCATGAATAAAACATGAAAATGCGCCCTGGCTATCGGTGGCAAAGTCTATGTTGCCTGGAAAAATGCGCCATGACATAACGCTACATGACGTTGTTGGCGGGCACCAACCATATATTCAATAGTAAGAAAGATAGATAAAAATATGGGGCATCCAGTTTTGCGCGCGCGGCGAGATTATAAATTCTCTTCGCTCGAGGAATTATTATCATTATAATTATTAATATTATTGTATGAGGCTGAGAATAAAATGATGTGACTGGTATAGCCTAACTTCATCATAGACTATCTTCATAATATCCCCCTGTTTCTTGTTACAAAATAAAAATTGAACATAGAGGTAGGTATTTTTTCTAAGTAGATGTTCCTCAAAAAGTAAATGACAACCATCAAACTATATTTTTCTGCATACTCAAGCAATTTTCCCCTTTACTTAAATTGGCCATATTGCCTTCGGATAGCTATGAACTATTACTCCATTTTCTTGACCTCTCCTGCTAAAACAGCTACACTGTAGGCTGCATAACTGCCTGCAAACAAGGTTGCGATTGTCTATTGCTGGCAATACATTTATCATAGCGATGGAACATGACTATAATACATGTATTGCGTAAAACGTCCAAATTTGGTCTGTACCAGCTGGTTATGAAGGATTAGCCAAGGGGTTAAAACCATTCAGAAATGGCAACATATTCTGGATGAATAGTAATATCTTTTATCCCAGCCATAAAGAATACAGCCAATCAGAAATCCGTATTCTGTGTTATTATACAGTAATTCTGACAATTATGCACCTCTTAATACTGCTTGTTTGGCTGCATTTTTTTCCATAACGAAGAGGAATACAGCAGAAAAAATAAATAAAATAAGATAAAAGTAGAGAAAATTAAAATAATAAACAAATAAGTAGTTGATTAAAAATAAAATGAATCAATGGTACAGTTCTGTGTACAAAACAAAACAATGACAACAAAAATTACTGACCTAATGTTAGTACATAGTCCTTATTTCTTCACCCCCCAACAATGGAATTATTTCATATATTGTTTTTTTTTTTTTTAACTCTACCCCTAAAAAAATCCCCAGTTTTTGTTACTTACCCCTAAAGCATTCCATCTGTCCTCATCCAGAGGCAGAAGGTATGGATATTGAAACAATGATTCCACTGTGATGATAAACAGCACTTTGGAAATAGATTTACCTCTAGACTACCAGACACAGGGCCACTTATCATCATATCATTAAATAACAAAAGCGTCTATTGCTATATGAAACATTCTTCAAAGCCTCTCAACAAGGTGGACCTGAGTAGCCCTGGGCCAAGTCGTTCAAAAGCTGTGTTAAGATAACCCACGGTTAGTAGCGGAGCTCCACCCGCGCGCGAAGCGCGCGCGTGTGGACGGAGCTCCATAGCTAAGGAAATGTGGTAATCTACCCATCCGAGAAAATTTGGTAATCACGTGACCGTACGCCCGACCGTCCGTCCGCACCACAGGGAAACCAATGGTCTCTCTTCCACTTTCTAGCTAGTTTGGGAGCCCATATAGAAAACTAATTGCACATCAATGTTGTGATCAATTGACAGCTGTCAAAACAGGTTATCCGCTGACCAGTGTCACCTGACCGTACCGCGGGCTCAAGTGTCGACCCATCGAGGTCGAGTACTTTTTTGAAGTTATCCGCTGACAAATTACCAGTTTCAAATGATCGCAGGCTCAAGTCTATTTTTTCCAATGGTTCATATGAAATATCTTTTGTTTATGTCACTATGGCCCCGCACTGTCAAGATTTTGATTTCAAACTGACCTCGGACGCGAAAATTCAGCCACTTTTTTAAAAATAAAGGCGGGGAAGACCTTTTCTTACCATGGTCACGCGTTGGTCACGCTCTACGTCCAATTTTTGTACTCTGATTGGTCAAAATTTGACAGGTGAGTTCATGCGGAAAATTTATGCAGCATCTTGAAAGTTGTTTACTTTCACATCTAAAGCTGACAGGGTTTTGTGTCAACTTGTGATGTTTTTAACTGTCTTTTTCCACTGGATGTACAAAATGAAATACAGCTGCTACCAAGAGTCTTCTGTTATCCATGGCTGGTTTGTTTATTGGGTTTTTGGTTGAGAAATGCGTCGCTTGTCAAAATTGGGTAATCCGATTTCGGATGGCATCGTTTTCGTCTTTCACCTTGCTCAATGCGTAAGAGGGTTTAAAAGTCTCAAGCAACTATGGCCTTCCTTGATATCTTTCAGGAACTGAATCTCGAATGGTAAGCCTGAGTAATTATTGTATTTGATGTTTATTTTTGTTATATCTAATTTCATGAAGTCGAGCACAGTTTATGCGGCAAGTTTGCGCACGTTTGTTAAGATTTGAGTCAATGATCTGATCTAGTATCAGGTTTGATATAAGCTTACAGAACTTTAAAAGGGGTGTATGTAAATAGCGGAACCTGCACGGAACCGCCCGGAACCGCCGGAACCGCCCGGAACCAACCGGAACCCCCCGGAACCTGCCCGGAACCTTGAAAAAAGCGCAAATGATAAAATTAAAAAAAAATAACAAATAACAAAAAATAATACAAATCAAATAAAAATAATGAAAATGAAATAAATATACTAAATATAGGTAGCTTCCACCTTAAAAATAGTCTGAAAGCTACAATTTTTATTATTTTATTTCGTTTTAATTATTTTAATTTGATTTGTATTATTTTTATTTTTTATTTGGTTCCCGTCCTCTTGTTAAATCAGCCTAATACTTGAACAGGTCGGCACGTGACTAACGGAATGCCAAAGACCAAAGTACAAAGTATTGTTTTACGACTCGAAACCACGTGCGCTGCGCTGTGGAAGTCAGCGAGAGAGCGTGGACAGTTTTTTCAAGTACGACCATGAATGAAGGGAAAGCCGAGACGATCACCATAGAAGATGAATCACAGTCTGAAGATGACAATAGTGAAGAGCTATATCAGCCGGTTTTTATGAGAACCGAGGAAACGTGTCCTTTTGCCAGGTAACATTTCCTTCGTACAAACAGAAATTTGACTGTTTACTGAGTTGCGTAAGCAAAAGCTGTGGTTTAGCACGGGTTGTTTCTTTAATGGAGCCCGCTATGCCTCCACGAAAAGTGAACCTGCGCTTACCTTTTCTTTTCCGGACTTCTCTCCGGCGAGGAAAGGATTTCGATTACTTCGTTATGACCGTTCCCTTCAGTTTTTACAGCACTGTTGAAATAAAACAAAACCGCGTAAATTTGTCGGCAGATATCAGCTTTTGCTTACGCAACTCAGTAAACAGTCAAATTTCTGTTTGTACGAAGGAAATGTTACCTGGCAAAAGGACACGTTTCCTCGGTTCTCATAAAAACCGGCTGATATAGTTCTTCACTATTGTCATCTTCAGACTGTGATTCATCTTCTATGGTGATCGTCTCGGCTTTCCCTTCATTCATGGTCGTACTTGAAAAAACTGTCCACGCTCTCTCGCTGACTTCCACAGCGCAGCGCACGTGGTTTCGAGTCGTAAAACAATACTTTGTACTTTGGTCTTTGGCATTCCGTTAGTCACGTGCCGACCTGTTCAAGTATTAGGCTGATTTAACAAGATGACGGGAATCAAATAAACAATAAAAATAATACAAATCAAATTAAAATAATTAAAACGAAATAAAATAATAAAAATTGTAGCTTTCAGACTATTTTTAAGGTGGAAGCTACCTATATTTAGTATATTTATTTCATTTTCATTATTTTTATTTGATTTGTATTATTTTTTGTTATTTGTTTTTTTTTTAATTTTATCATTTGCGCTTTTTTCAAGGTTCCGGGTAGGTTCCGGGCAGGTTCCGGGGGGTTCCGGTTGGTTCCGGGCGGTTCCGGGGGTTCCGGGCGGTTCCGGGCAGGTTCCGCCATTTACATACACCCCTTTAAAAGGCCTTCAGATTTTTTTTTTCACGGCAAATAGAAAAAAAACGTTCCGAAGAATATTTAGTTATAAATTTGGCTGTAGAAAGAAAACTTTGAGTGATTTTCTTGCTTCGAGGAGTTCATCTTTGAAAAAAAAACAAACACCGGGAGGCCGGCTGAAAGTAAAACAAAATAAACTTAACCTTAAGCTTTGAGCTTAAAGACTCCGGATTTTTAAAGACACTTTAATACTTGTCTTCGTGAATGAAAATTGTTGTCTCTGTAAATGCTTTACCGAATTATATTTCTTTTATTGATTGTTAGTAGTCTCTCTTGCAATTTTATTCTCTTGTCCGTGGTGTTTGTTTTCATCGTTCATGAACATCGCTTGCAGGAGTACTTAATGTCGCGCGTATCAAACGTTTTATAAGATTACACATCGTTATAACTGGAACCATTAAATAACAAAAAGTAATAATAATAAATTCGTTATTATGTTGAAGTTCATTCAAACACTCAACCACACTGACAGCTCGCACTAAAAATGAGAACCGGCTGGCCGTATGAGTGATTTTGGAAATTTTTTGAACGGTTTCGCTAAAAGCCCACGATTGATCGTCCTGGACATTGAAAAATTGTGAAATGCCGTATTCTGTCCGAGGTCTGTATGATAAAAAGTACTGTTTCACCTCAGATGTGATGTATAAAAAGTATAAAAGGTTGGTTTACACACCCTCAGACTTGTTGGCAAGGATTTGTAAAGTAAACCTGTCGAACGCAAAAAAATACGGCCTGATTTGTTTTCCAAGAATTTGTTTTCGAGGCCTAATCTACTGTGATCAAGAGCCATTATGGCTCTTGAATGTGATAGAAGATGTTTGCTATTTTTTGGGTGTACATATATTTAGGCTATGAACTCGATGTAAGATGTTTCACTCTAAAATAACTTATCCTTTCCCTCAAAAGTCACATGAATGTGCTCTTAAGTTAACTGATTTGTGGATTAAAAGTTTATTGTTTGATTTAAAATATAAATTTATTAATGAGAGCTTCGCTTTTAGCCCTGGCTAAATCTATATATTACGAGATTTGCATTTACATTTGAAAGCTTAAAAAGCATTTCATTTTTAATTTTTTTGGTCAACAAGTTAATGATTGGAACCTCTAAAAATAACAGAGAAAATTATCCGAGAAGATTACTTTGAACACAAGAAAATGAAATCCGGGTTAAGCGCTAATCGGCCTTCGAACAACTGGGCCCTCTATTCTTTCGGTAGTACCAATGATTCCCTGGCCTCAATCAAACCACTCTACACGCCAACATCTAGCTCTCTTTTTATCATTCGACTTCCAAGCGGCCTCAATTTCGAAGGTCGCGTAGAAGCGAAAATAACACAGGGAGTTCTGAATAACTTACTTCATGTATTCTCTTTGGCGGCCATTTTAAAATTTGCGGTCAGCATGAGGTCTGGAACCGAGATCTCTCCCTCAACCCCAGGGTCTTCTCGTTTTCCAATGAGAAGACTCTGGGGACAATGCTGAGATCTCTCGTCGGATTTTCCGGAAGTTTTCGAATTTCCAACCATTTACGATTGTATTTCATCACGACATTTCCGCATTTTTGAACGACGCACGTCAGTGCAACCGGAAGTCGAACTTTTTCCCTTTCTGATCTGAAATAGAATCCGGGCCTACTGGAAAAGCCGGGAGGCACAAATCACCAAGAACTCCGAGGAGTATCCCTTCCCCCGGGGTAATTATAAGCACAAATCGTTTACCTGGCTTTAGTTTTACTCCGTATATTTCTGTTCTCAGACAGAACCTGTTGTGACTTGTTTGGCCAACGAATCTCAGCGTTTTTGCTAAAACACCCTCAGAGAGGATGTTTTTAATCTCTGTATTTCTGTCTTTATTACCTGTGAAAGTCTAATCACAATACAACAGGTCAGCCATATTAAACTGTCAAAATAGATACAGTCAATCTATTACATTTCAAAACAGAGAAAATGGCTTGTACGCACATACATTTACCCAGGGTTTTTATAAGAACAACATGGCTATTTTCCATAGGGATTTCGTCAACAATCAGGGAAGTTTGAAATTGTCAGTTTTACAGATAGTGCTTTTATCATTGTCCTTTCCATTACTCATGTCATTGTCATTATTACTGCAATCAACATCGTTTTTATTGTCATTAGGTTAAAGGGTTAACTAGTTATTCTAATCGAGTTTTTTCATGACTAAGGCAATAGAACGTTACAGATAAACACTTTTCATTTACATTTCTAAAGAGTTCCTCGTTTTGAAAAAGTCAGAAGCTTTCAGTTTAAGTGTTTGTGACTCAAATTTTCTTTTTGTCCTTAAGTTCTACAATATGTGTAAAATATGTAACCGAAATTTACAGGTCAATGATCAAGCAAAATCTAAGCTTTCGTCCCCAAAGCACGCAATTTTGCCTTCAAGAATGTCCGCACCCTACCGCGCGACCAGTTGACAAGTGTGACGTACAATGATTCTCAGTGCAGGAATATAAAATAATTAACAAGATGGAGGCAAACACAAAGGATTTTGCATTGTCGGAAACGCTCCAATAATCTTCAGAATCTTCATTTACTTCCCCATGACTTCGTTACAGTCAGTTACATCGCTTAACTCCGCACAGAACACAAAGCAATGACAAGAATTGGAAGCCGGCAGTTTGTTCTCAGTCTTTGGGACATTTCTGAAGGGGGAAAAGAAGTTTTCTGGATGGTCAAAATTCAAGAACCTTTTAAGAAGACATTTTTTTTTTAAGTTAACAATAGTTAATGATACTTATCTATGGACGGACCAAAATCAGTTTGAGAAAATTTCGTTTCATATGCAATTTAAGTGATAAGGTATTAAGATGGCTCGAAGGCGTTTCCTCGCTAGTTAATTAGTCGTAGGAAAAAAACCTAATGGAAAACTCTTGATACGCCGGCTACTTCTTTGTTATTTTGGCTTTTTCTTGTTTTGGTTTGGTTTGGTTTTTGTTGTTAGAGCGATTTTCGTATGACCTTGAAAAATGGTTTCGCTAAGTTTTTGTTATTTGTTTTATCAGCCAATGGATGAAATGATCAAAACATGGACTCTTCTATTCCCCACCAAAGAAAACCCTAATTGTTCGATTGGCCAATCGTGTTGCAGTATGACGTCAAAGCTAATTATCGATTACTTTCTAGAAAGTTCTCGGGCATGACGTTTTTTCAACCGAGCGTTCGCTTAACCAACCAAAAGCCACGTACATTTATGTCCGTCCTATAAACCAATCAAATGGCTCTATTTCCGTTTGTTTGTTGTTTCTGTTTTGTTCGCGCGTTTTCATTTCAAGGTCATACGAAAATCACTCTATTTGGTTTGGTTTGTGGTTGTTATTGTTTTTTATACAAGAGTTGGCATAGATCAAGCGGAAGGAATGCAGAAACTTACCTTATTTTGATCAAGCTCCTTATAATCTTTCCAGGTTGTTCCATCCGTTGATATCTGGATTGTGTAGGTCTCTATCCACTGATCTGCATTTGGATTTCCTTGTGTTGACACAGCACAGACAATATGGATGGTTTCCAGGTCTATTTGTAAATAAGGTTTAGCATCTCCTGAAGACGCACACCATGCTTTCATTTCGTTCAAACGTCCATTCTTGGCTTCGGATACCCCAGAGGAGGCGGTTATATTGTTATCTGGGATTTTACCACTTCCAGTTCCAAGATCCAAATCAATACAGTTTCCTTGATGCCCAAAGAAAAAGTAAATAAATAAATAGATTTTTCTCGCTCATTCTCCTCGTAAATATCAGGAGCCAGTTGCATAAAAAATGCCACTTCTGAAGCTCGCGTTAGACACATTATGCCGGCATAATTTTGGGCATTATGCTATAGTCGGAGCATCGAGCATAGTGGCCATTTTTTTTTTCAGCATAAAGAGAATGATAGTGAAAAAAATAATAATAATTCCATAAGTATGATAACTGTACTGAGAATTGTAAATTCTCTTGAGTTGAGTAGCATTAGAAGAGAATTGATTTCTGTTCGCTATTATTGTAGATGTTGACTAATTTTGAGACGTTTTGTATGATTGTGTCTCCAGTATTTCTGAATGCAATTGTGCCGAGAGGTATTTGTATTCTGGCATAAATATGACTGTTTAGTATGCGAGTCATTCTCAGTCGTTAAGCTTCCTTTTCTGCGTGTAAGTTAAATTTTATATATAGTTAGGATTTATTTAGTTCAGTTGATTGATTTCAAAAATAGCCCTCAGCTCTATTGAAGTTTGATCTAAGTTCAATAAACTTATCTATATATATGATGTATATCTTTTCGTTTTATTATTGTTATTTTTTCGGCTTCGTAGGAAGGTCGTGGAGTTTTTGGGCTTCGTTCCTACTCAGGTTTCCTCTATTTTTTCCCGTCTCTCGCGGGTTTTTTGTAGGGGTTTTTCCTGGCCTCCGAGTGTGTCTTGTAGATAGTATCCAAAACTACGTTAATTTTCCTTGATGTATTCTGTTATGTATTCTTCTCAGTTTTGTTTTTTAGGCTCAGTTGGTCTTCAATAAAGCGTAGCGGCCTACTACGGCACAATAAACCAGAAATGTTGTTAGTTTCATTTGTGTGTTGTTGGGAAGCCTGATGTTAAGAACAGAAATATTGATCAATTTAGGTTTCTGTGAAACTGTCCACCTACCCCTCCCCTAAGCCAACGTTATCAGTTACATCTCGTGTGGATCATGTTTTCCCCTCAATTTAGTCTCTAAAAAGCCTGAATTACATTAATAGTAATACTAAATTTGATAAATTGCGCTAAATAAAGAGTAACAAAAAAAATTCAATCGGTAAAACAAGAATAAAACTTTCTTATATAGAAAAAAAATGCAAATCTCGAATGTTATAGAACGTCAGTGGTGACATACACGTCAAGAAGAATTTAAATACTCTCAGACAAATTTTAGGAAAAGTCGCTACGTTTGGCGAGTAGTATAGGGCGCACCGGTTACTCCTCTTTTTTGGCGGGGGAAATCTCATTAAGGTGGGGGGGAATAAATTAACGCCAATGAGGTCATAGTCTATTGTCTTGATGTCATGAATAAAATGCGCAGGAATCTCATTAAGATAAGGTCGTGTGTTATTTTTAGTTGTTTTAGGTTTTCTAGTTTAATGTCGATAGACGTCTTCCTTTTCGATTGGTTAGTTAGAAAATAAGAAACATTTTCATTGGTTAATTCATAGTGTCTGAGGAGTAAAGTCAAACTTGTCTGTGACTTAAAATCACTGAGACGTAACGTAATTATGCACTTCCTATTTCCTGCTGCTGTGATTGTCCTTGTTCCGGTTCACTGATTTTTGGCGGGCAAATCGTGTATATTAAAGAGGGCAAAGGCAAACTAGCTCTTTTTTTTACACTGCAAGCAATGCTTTACTTACCCCTCTCCTTTTCATTTTTTTATTTTCCTCCTCCTCCACAATTTTGTTATTTTCCTTCCTCAATTTTTTTATTCCCATTTTTCCCTATTGTTTTCCCTCCACCACCACCACCACCACCGCCACCACATTTCTATTGTTTTCCCTCCACCACCACCACCGCCACCACATTTCTATTAGGGACCTTAAGCACCAGGACGGGAGAGGAGGACGGCGACGTCTGGCGGATGGGGAAGACTGGGTCTACGTCCCCGTCGTCAGCATGAGTTGTTTGTTGTTAAGCAACTGGACCCTAGGACGGGAAACGCGCGGGAAGCTCAAATAAACATGGCTTCTTTTCGCGAAGCACGGATTGCCCTTTTGGACGCCTACATGGACGGTCTATTAGATGACGACGAATTTCTAGTACTTTGGCAAGCACACAAGTCAAAGAACCCCGAGTTCCCTTATGAAGAACATGACCGATTTTCCTTCGACGAACTTGACGAAGCAGAATGCAAAGCCGAATTTCGATTCGAGAAGAGAGACCTACCAGTCCTTGTCAACGTTTTGGGTATCCCCAACCAGTTTACTTGTTCGCAGCGTACTGTTAGTGATGGGATGGAAGGATTGTGCATGGTGTTGCGAAGAATGGCGTACCCTTGCCGCTACAGCGACCTTATTCCCCGGTTTGGTAGGCCAGTTCCCGTCTTAAGCATGATCTGTAACCGCGTAATTGATTATATTTACGATTCGCACGTACATCGCCTCACTTCATGGAATCCCCAGCTGTTGGACCCTGCCTCTCTTCAGATGTATTGTGATGCAATTTCTAGGAATGGTTCTCCTCTCGACAACTGCTTCGGGTTCATTGATGGCACGGCCAGACCAGTATGCCGCCCTGGTGAGCAGCAGAGAGTGCTCTACAATGGCCACAAGAGGGTGCACGCCCTAAAATTTCAATCGGTTGTCTTACCATCGGGAATGATAGCCCATATGTATGGCCCAGTAGGTAAGTTAAATGATAAATTACAAACAGTTAATAAACAACAAAATAGTGCATAGGTTCAGATGTACGGTGCTACGAGGAGAGCAATTCTTAAGGCTCGAGATCAGAGAAAATCAAGTTTGAAATTGATTCAATACTTGCACTGCAATATGATTGACTAATTTGAAAAAAAAGCACCCATCTCTTTATTTTGTTCCTTTCTGTTGTTTCTACCGCAGAAGGTAGAAAGCATGACGCGGGGATGTTAGCAGACTCTGGTCTACTTGCAGACCTACAAAGGAATACTTTCTCCTTAACTGGCCAGCCTCTTTGTCTGTATGGCGACCCGGCTTACCCATTAAGGATACATCTGCAGTGCCCTTTTAGAAATGCAGTACTAACACCTCAAATGCAGGAGTTTAATGCTGCCATGAGCGCTCTACGTATATCTGTTGAATGGCTAAGTTTCTTGATTTCAAAAATAATTTAAAAGTTGGCCTATCCTCAGTAGGAAAAATGTACCTTGTTCGTGCTATCATAAGAAATGCTCACACCTGCCTTTATCACAATCAGACTTCTGATTTCTTTTCTGTGGATCCACCAACACTTCAGGACTACTTTGTGTAGCTTGCATTATATTAACATCAGTAATGCACAAGTGTTAATATGTCCAAGAAATTTTCAGTGACTGGATTGTGTAGAAAATAAATATGAAGAAGACCTTTGAAATGTCTGATAATTATCATGTAACATGCATTGTTTGTATTACATTTCTATCTTAAATAAACCTTGACCATATCCAGGTGTTTACAATGTTTGCTTGGGTATTACCTTGGCCATTGGGAAAAAAAGCCTCTGAAAACCACTGCTAACATCATTGCCTTACATGAAGCTTTCATAGTTGGCACACCCCTCCCCCCTCCCCTTAAAGCTTTAAGCCTAGTGACATGGTTTCATCCCTGTTTTGTTATGGTACTAATGATGAGAATTTGATTGACTTTTTGATATCTTTCTTGATTGGCTCTATTATTCCCATGGCCTATACTTTTATTAAACAGTGATGTTATGAGATTCTCGTAACATCACTGTTTAATAAAAAATAGGCCATGAGAATAATAGAGCCAATCAAGAAAGATATCAAATAGTCAATCAAATTCTCATCATTAGTACCATGACAAAAAGTCAAACATCTGTCAATTTACACCTCCCTTATGGGGACACTTACCCTTTGTGCAAGCCATGAAAGGGGTGCATTTTTAACCTCCCTTACATGGACACCTCTATTAAGTGGACCCTTTCTACAGGTCCCAAGGGTTTCTGCTCGTATTAGGGCATATGCAATCAAAAATGGATTATAAAGTTGGCTTTTATTTTTCATCAATACAACAAACTAATATTGTCAACTGTAAAATTACCCTAGCAAATGGTCTGGCATGTACATATTTAAAGTTAAATTAGTTCAAAGCTCCAAATTGCACCCAGTGCCTAACTATAAGGTCAGGACACACTAGGCAACAAATCATATGAAGCAAAATGTTGCTGTGTCCTTTCCCCCTATCGTATCACAGAGTGGTTGATTGCAGGGACATTTCACAAAGACTTGTTGTCTAGCATATCACGACGTATATGATCTGTACAGTCAACATTGCGAAGTTTTCAAGATCAATACAAGAAGAGAAATCAACATAACTTGAACAAGAGACACTAAGCCTCAAATACATTAAACACAATTTCAGGTGAATAATTTTCACAATTTCAGGTGAATTATTCTGACACAGTGGTGGATCCAGGGGAGGGGCCCTGGGGGGAACCAGCCAGACCAACCTGAGGCCCAAAGGGGCAAACAAAACTTTTCTTGAACCCCCTGCCATCTCAAGGTCTAGATCTGCCAGTGTGACACACGTGACATTAAACAATCATCTAGGAAATGACAGATAAACATCACTCACTAACAACAAATCCACACAATACATTGTGTGAAGGCTTATTTATGGTCTAACTTAGAAACGAGAGCCATAATCAACTGAGTTTGCTGCTGCTGTTGTTGGAGAAGCATAGCTTGCATGTTATGCATTTGCTGCTGCTGTTGCTGTTGTTGTTGCCTCATCAATTCGAGAAAATCCTGGTGTCGTTTGCTCTCAGCCTCTTGTTGTTTTACTTTCATATTGACCTCCTCCTTACGAGCAGCAACCATTGCCTCAGTTCTTTCTCTTAAGAACACTACTGCATCTCCTCCAGTTGCCCTCTTCTTCTTAGCTTTGGTCTGAAGGTTGCTGTCTTGCCCTTTTCGTTTCTGAGTTTCCCCCAGTCTCTCCAATGACTTTGTGCGAATATCTTCAGCCTGTTGTCGATCTTCTTTCCTCTTTAGGTTTTGATCTTGATTCTCCTTGTGCTGTTTATCCGATTCATCTTCCCTCTCGATCAAATCTTCCAGAGCAACTTCCACCTCTGACATATCAGTTTCAATTCTGGAAGCTTTCCTTTCATCTTTTAGCTTTCTTCTCAGCTTATTTGCTAACAGGTTGTATCGATCACGAACACCCCTTCTGTCTAAATCTGACTTGAATCTTACTTCATCAACTGCAACAAGTCGTTCAGCGATGTCATTCCAAAGCTGTCCTCTTTGAATTGAGCTCTTCTTGTACTGAAAGGGATTGTGTATCAAAATTTCTCGACAGAGAATTACATCGTGTCTGTCAGTCCAAAACATCATCTTTTCACTGCAGATAAATATTGAAACAAGCAATTCAACAAAAAATTATTAAAAAGGGTTGTATTACCACAATCATGGAAAAAAAATATTTTAGAACCTGAAGACTCCTAGCTGTCTAGAGGTAGATACACTATTTAATGAAATGAAGAATTAAGATAAGCTAAGTTTGTTTTTCTGTAGCTTCTCTATTGACATAACTGTTCTTTTGTTTCAGTTGCTTCATTTCTTCTTCTTTTTCTTTTATAAATATTTAGGAAATAACTACTATAATACGTATATATGTGTAACTATTTATATAATATATACAAGTGTGTGTGTGTATTTCTATAACAAATTTATTTATGTACATACTGGTTTGCCAGGATTACCTTCTTGCTATTTGTCGGCTAGCCTAATTTTAAACATAAGCTTATACGAAGATGCAAGAAAGTGTTGCTTAAAAGCATACACACACAAAGCTTTCATCGCTGAGGTAAATCGCTGCTATCAAAGGAAATTAAAATTTTTAAAATGGAGAAAAATATGAAATACGAACATTCTGCTAGACCTACACGCTAAAAGTCGCAAGTTTGTACATAAGCTTATTTATTTAACAAATTTAAGGTAACACCAAGCATCGAATTGATTTATTAACACATGAGCAGATTATTGGGGTTTTACCTAGCTATAGTTTAATCAGTGCAGCTCAGGGCAAACGTATTTCCACAGAATATCAGCTAACTTCATTCAGTACGAATTTTAACTTCGTACTTACGCCGGTTTATCTCCTTCTTGTTTTTTCGCGGGAAGGTTTGTCGACATCTTGAGCTTGTGAGCGGGATGTACTGACAAAAGAAAGTAAAAAAATTGATTTATTTTCATCCCAGTTACCGTTAACTTGATTCTGACAACCATCGATACCAACTTTTAACATTACATTAAGTACTTGGATCCAACAGTTACATTTCAGGACAAAAAAAGCCAAAATTTACTTACGTTCTGTGCACGACGTCAAAACCCCTCACTTCACGTCGAAGACGAGGGCAGGACGGGATGATGCAACCTATTCGCATGCGCACTGCTATCGAAATGCGACTTTTCACTTCCGGTAAGGCGTCGTCCTCCTCTCCCGTCCTGGTGCTTAAGGTCCCTATTGTTTTCCCTCCACGACCACCGCCGCCACCACATTTCTATTGTTTTCCCTCCACTACCACCGCCACATTTCCATTGTTTTCCCTCCACCACCACCACCACCGCCACATTTCCATTGTTTTCCCTCCACCCCCACCACCACCACCACCACCGCCACATTTCTATTGTTTTCCCTCCACCATCACCACCACCACCACCGCCACATTTCTCTTGTTTTCCTTCCACCACCAACAACAACAACCCCCACCACCGCCGCCACCACATTTATATTGTGGCGGTGGTGGTGGTGGTGGTGATGGTGGAGGGAAAACAATAGAAATGTGGCGGTGGTGGTGGTGGTGGTGGTGGTGGTGGAGGGACCACCGCCGCCACCACATTTCTATTGTTTTCCCTCCACCACCACCACCACCGCCACATTTCCATTGTTTTCCCTCCGCCACCACCACCACCACCACCGCCACATTTCTATTGTTTTCCCTCGTCCTCGTCCTCCTCCTCCTCCACCACCGCCGCCACCACATTTCTACTGTTTTCCCTAGAAAGGCCAAAGAGGCCAAAATCAGGCCTAAACGGCCTAAAAGGCCAAACAATAGAAATGAGGAGGAGGAAGAGGAGGAGGGAAAACAATAAAAATGAGGAGGAGGAGGAGGGAAAACAATGGAAATGTGGCGGTGATGGTGGTGGTGATGGAGGTGGAGAGAAAACAATAGAAATGTGGTGGTGGTGGTGGTGATGGTGGAGGGAAAACAATAGAAATGTGACGGTGGTGGTGGTGGTAGTGGTGGTGGAGGGAAAACAATGGGAATGTGGCGGTGGTGGTGGTGGAGGGAAAACAATAGAAATGTGGTGGCGGCGGTGGTGGTGGAGGGAAAACAATAGAAATGTGGTGGCGGTGGTGGTGGTGGTGGAGGGAAAACAATGGAAATGTGGCGGTGGTAGTGGAGGGAAAACAATAGAAATGTGGTGGCGGTGGTGGTGATGGTGGAGGGAAAACAATAGAAATGTGGTGGCGGTGGTGGTGATGGTGGAGGGAAAACAATAGAAATGTGGCGGTGGTGGTGGTGGTAGTGGTGGTGGAGGGGAAACAATGGAAATGTGGCGGTGGTGGTGGAGGGAAAACAATAGAAATGTGGTGGCGGTGGTGGTGGTGGAGGTGGAGGGAAAACAATGGAAATGTGGCGGTGGTAGTGGAGGGAAAACAATAGAAATGTGGTGGCGGTGGTGGTGGTGGAGGGAAAACAATAGAAATGTGGTGGCGGCAGTGGTGGTGGTGGTGGTGGAGGGAAAACAATAGGGAAAAATGGGAATAAAAAGTTAATGAGATTCCCCCCCAAAAAAGAGGAGTAACCGGTGCGCCCTATACTACTTTGGCGGTCATAGCTAAAACGTGTATGAAGTTATTCAAGTTTTTATTTAGAGGGGAGAAGGGCTCAAAAGCCCCCAGGCCGTGTCTCAACAGAGCTAAAACCGCGGCTAAAACTTGAAAATGTCCGCACAACTCAATCCATATCCATCTTTATGTCAACGACCCTTGCAACAACGGAAAGAAAACACTTGCAACGCCTAAATACAGTCTTAAATTAAATAACAAAACTGGGTCATTGTTGGGTTGGAATTCAGTTGCATGATGCGAAGAAAGGTTTAGCTTTTTAAAAAGAAACCAGCCAGACATAGACCCTTTAAAGGCGGTAAATTTCTTCGTGATTCATTCAAGTACAACAAAGTTATGTTCTCAAAACGATCCCGCATGTAAATTCCAAAGTTGAAAATGTTTTATTAACCTACTTGATAAATAGTACCTTAATCAATAATGATATTTTTAATATCGTTACATTGGGGACAGTTTACTTAATCTGCACTGTTAGAAAAACATGAAAGGCCTTATAAGCAATGCTTCAAAGGGAATTTTTTAAAATTAAACCTACTGGTATTTGTTTAAAAATTCTATGGTCTCCTTATTTATTCATAAAACAAAAAATCAGTGAAATGCTGTGATGCATTGCGCTTGTGATGGATCATAACATTTCCAAATCAGCTGTCAGTGTTAAAATGCTAGGCATGGCAGTCAGTCTGTCAGTTCGAGAAGATTTGGATTCAATGAGCAACTCTGAAGTAACGAACAAAACTAAACTGCTTAATCACTATACAACAGGAAGTAACTACGTAGATTCTTTTATTATAGAAGCTGAAATGAAGTAAAGCAACATTTCGCCAATTCCTCGAGCTTCCCGACAGCAAACAAAGAATTACAGGTTTTGTTCACCGATACAGTACAAATCTGACATTTTACTTTAAGAAGCGGGACTCTGTTATTTTTTAGTACAGCAGGAAGCAATATCTAGCTAATATCTCGATGGGCCACTATTCTAAACGAATGTTTGCATGTAGTCAAGCCAAAATGACCCTAAATGGCATGTGGATAGTTCGTAACAGATAAAACTGGCCTACCTGATACCAAAGAGACGAGAAATACGAGAAGTATCACCCGGCAATACAGCGCTAGATAACCCGACACCATGTTAGTGTGTTTTCGCTTCGCCCTCTGAAAGTAATATCAACTATTCATGCATGTTTCGCCTGGTTAACCTTTCCCTTTTGTTTCGATTCACTTTTTCCGATATCCGCTGCGTTAAAGAGTTTGGTTGAAGCCACGCACAGCGCAATATGCAGGCATGTGATTGATAACACTAATATTTAGATTTGGGATTATTTTGATCTAAAAAATGGACGTAAAGTTTAGCCGTGTCTTTATCAGATATAAAGACACTCATTAAACCTTATTTTTCTTTTATGAATTAGTAATGAGTTTTTGAAAGATTTCGGAAGACTATCCGAAGAATTCAGAAAGTTGCCGAAATATGTTACCCGAATATGTTGTTACGACCTTTGAGCACGTGAAAAGGTCTTTTAAAAGGCGACAATTTTACGGTTTATCACGTTGTGATACACTTTTCTTTGTATAAACTAGGGGTACCTTCCGGCAAGTGCCAACGAGGCGAATTCGATAACCTTTTGTGGGATGTGCCTAACGGTCCTTCGAGAATCGGTGGACAATTTTAGGGGTTTTAAATTGATTTGTCTGTTATTAATAAAGCCAAAATAAGAATAAATACAGGAGATTGTAAAGGGACTGTAAAAGCGTGCCCTCATATTGCCTATACGAGAATGTGCCGCTGGACAGGGTATGGTTTTTGACCTCTCCGTCCCCTATTGTGTTTTTACTCTACAGTAATTGCCAATAAATTCATAAATAGCTTTAAACACGACGGCGCTTTTTTCGTTTATCCTAAACGGAGTATATAATTGGCGTTGTTGACCTAAGAGGGATATTCTTGTCCTAAACAGGGTCAGGGTTTCAAACTTCGGGGGTTCACCTATACCTAAATATTGGTTGAGTAACCCCCTGAGGGGTTTGAAACAACAACTTTGGTACATTCTAGGTTAACCTGGTCACAGAAGCTTAAAGCGTCTTTGGTAGCAAATCTTCACTGCAAATTTCATTTTATTTAAACGATAAACGTTAGGTAATCAATCCTTGAAAATTGAACTTGAACAAGTTAATAACAAGCTGTGTCTACTGTCTACACTTCAGCAGTGCTTAGTTTGAAATTATTGAAATCAATGTATTAAGTGCCTATATGGTTGTTTTCTTTCATGGTACGAAACAACAAATACAACAATTGAATTTGTACAAACGAATTTTTTTAAATTCGTAGCACTTCTCAGTAATAAATATCAAAGTTTTACAACGTTCTTATAGATAGCAAAAAATGTAGGTAACAAAACTATGAACGCTTTGATTGTATTGGTCTGTTCACGAACTTAAATAACAGTTTCTTTTCCACTTTGTTTCACTAGAGTTCACATGTCATTTTTTTGAAATTCGTTAACTTTGTCTACAAAATGGTTGATTTGTTTAGTACCACAGTGCTTCCTTTGGAAATTACAGGTTTAGTACTTCTTTGACAATGTTCCTTTGGGAGTTGCATTTCAATTTGACATCCTTTAGGCTCATAAGGGCATCTTCTATTTCGTCTATGGTGCTGCTCATACTTGCTGTTGTATTCTTCAGGAGGTTTTCGATTTCATTTGTAAATGCAGTGAGCTACAATTCCGATTCATTGTGTTGAATACACAGCTTGACAGAGCCTTCCCGCCTGCAGTTGATGATCCTTTGTCGTACTTTGCAGTTTTGGCATCTCACTGACTCGCCCGACCCATCCCCAATTCGTTTTTTGCAAAGTTGGCATGCACTAAAAATGCTTAAACTGGCAACATATTTTAGTTGACTTGCAATAATCTCTCTTTCTGTAGTTGTCAATATTTCTGGGTCCACTAATTTTTTGAGAGTTGTGGTTTCCTCACTGTAAGTTGTATTCCTGTTGGTGCTAAGGAATTTTGATCCTTGATAATACCGTAGTGTGAGGTTTTGAAAGTAATAGGTCTTGTTGCTTTTCAGTTGTGTAAATAACGGTTCCCATATGTGGAGTTCCATTGTACCCGTTTCGTCTTCCAATATGCAGTCTTCTTTGACAGATAAAGCTTGACTGGATTTGGTTTCTATCTTGTTTGGCTCCTGGGCTCCCATTGACAGAGTTGCATGGACGTTGACTTTCTGATTGGGCGCCATTTCTTTCAGTTCTCGTAAAGAGACATCAGACGCTTGTTGTGATGTTGATTCGGAACGTTCTGACTTGTCAAAATTTGGTATTGGTACATAGGAGAATGGTACATCAGCATTTGCACACTGCGAAACATAGGATTGCTGGTTGAAAAGCCAGT